ACCTTAGGAAAGACATTGAATTGTTGGAAAGGGTTCAGAGAAAGTGTTACTGGAATGGTGCCTGAAATGGAGGGGTTGTCATACAAAGAGAGGCAGAAATATCTGAAATTGTTTTCTCTTGAAAATTTAAGAGTTAGGGGGGATCTGATTGAGGTGTTTAAGATTGCAAAGGGAATTGATAGTGTTGATGCATCGTCTTTTTCCATATTTAACAATGAGAATAGTAGAACTAGGGACACAAATATAAATCTTTGCAAGGTAGGAGTCATATTCAGCTAAGACAGTTTCATTCTTATAACAGGGTGATTGGCCTTTGGAATGGGTTGCTTTCAGATGTTGTAGAGACAGTAAATTTAAGTGAGTTTAAAAAAAAGCTTGATAAGTATATGAACGATAAGGACTGGCTTTAAGATTTTTTTTTCTTTAAATATTTTAATTTAGTTTAGAGGATGGAACAGCCGAGATGGACTAATAGGTCCCATGTTGTCTCAAAACATTGTTATTTGTTTCTGTTTATTTTACATACCTAGAGATTAGATACTATAGACAGCAGGTGGTCATCCCATCTTAAAAACTATGATGCTGGTGTGTTTGATGTACTTCGTGTTGCTCCAGAAGATTTTGCTGTGAGTATTACAAGGCCTAAGTTTTTAACAGTTTATGCTACTCTACATTCAGGATTATTATATTATGTTCATTTATATATTGACGTGTGAATTTAACTAAGGTGTTTCTGGTTTACAACAGTTGGAATGTCATGAGTTTGATTTATATATTTAATTTTCACAATTTTTAGGATATGTTTTATTAACAGGGTTATTGTAAATAACCACATTTAATTATTTTTATATTACCTTTAGAGCAGGTTATTAAATTGACCTATTTTTGTGTATACTTGGTACATAGTTATAATATATGGACAACAAGAATGTATTTGTGTCTTCAAGACTATCTCTTTTAGAACTAGACAATTTAATCAATTACCCATTAGTATCAGTTATACTGATTAGTGTCACACCAGTTAATCAATTAATTTAAATTGCGATTAAATGGATTAATGTTATGAAAATAACCAACTAATAAAAATTAGTATACCCAGTTGTTACTGTATTGGATTATTTCAACTATTTAAGTAATTGAAATATTTTCATCATGATTTTTCATTATTATCTTTGATTAATTTTAGCTTAATCAAAATTAGTGTTTCTGATTATAACTATTTTCATTTATTCCAACTATCTAAGTCTCATGTGAGAATACTTGATCAGTTAAATGTAATCAATTAATGAGCCCAGTGATTAATCAATTAGCACATTTCACTAATAGCCCAACCATAATCCCTGCATATCCACCCTTGAGAAATAGTAAAAACTTAAATGCACCTTTTACCTTTCAAGAAATAATAAATTCTTCTTTAAACTGTGGTAAAGTGCAGTCCTTTTCTACTGCCAACAATGATCATTTTGTAAGTTAATCACCTGTTAGAAAAATATAACTGTTCTAACTATGGAGCCTAATCTGTCCTTTATAGATTTTACATGTGTCTTATTGTGAGACTGATTCCTTTGAATAATTTAGTAAACCTAAATAAGATCACATTTTACCATTCTTTATTTAAGAGGAAATAGAAGATACTAACCTTTCCCCATAAGATAACCCATTCCCAGAATTATCCTAGTAGCTCTCCTTTGAGTCATTTTTAATAAGTCAGCATCCTTTCATAGATAGAGACCAAAACTGTACACATTATTAAAAGTGTGGCCTAATTAGTGATTTGTGTAGAGAAATAATTACCTCTGTTTGATTTGTAATCAGTATGTATATAAATGCGATCAAAATTCTGTTAGCTTTGCTACTAGCAACAGAGCACTGCTTCAGTGGTTTCAGCAACTTATACATTGCTGTGCTTAAAATAACCATTAGTCAATGACCTATGATGATGAAAATGACTATAAAGTGGCAATACTACATAGGACATCATAACTAACAACATCATTCCCTTGAGATATATCATCAAAAAGTTTTCTTGCAAGAAAATTAGTTTGATACACTATCTCCCCAAAAAAAGAATTTATGTGAAATATATTGATGTTCTTCAATCTAAGTTTCATAGAAAAGTTGCATTCTAATCCCTGTCTCGTGACTTTTGCATCATGGAGTACACCACCACCTTTAACACAAAATACTATTGTATAATTTGAGGCTTTCAGAGGGGAACAAAAACCACAAAAAGAAATAGTCTAGAACTTGAAAGGAGTCATGCTGGTTCAGCACTCCTATTTTGGGTGAATTTCCTACAAAAATGGAACAATCCAAGAAGGATATGCTGAAATATTGTGGGGGTAGGGGACACAAGCACCTTGCTACAGAGCATGAAAGACTGGAATGCTGAAGCCACATAGTAACATATACTAAGTCAGTAAGAACTACACTTAGCAAATTGTGTCTTCTTTCTTTCTTTTTTTTAAGTATTATTAAGAAAATAGTTCTATTAACCATGTATTGGATACAGTTAAGGGCTTATGCAAAATATGTTGTTAATATATAAATAAAGTAATATACTAATAGTCTTCAATTTATTAAATAGTAAATATATTTTCAGTGTTAACTATGTCCACAATATCGTGCTTTCAAATCATATATGAGGATTAAAAATCATTTAAGTACCAAAAGGTGTTTTCATTAGTAGTAGTGATAATGATTTAAACATCAAAGAAAAAAAGTCCAAATCATTTCAGTATAAACTGTTTCTTAACCCATCTCGTTCAGTGTAGCGTAAACAGATACTGATTATATGTGTTAATTGAAATTGCAATGTACATGTGTGTTTGTGATAAGCACTAGTTTACAACCTAGATATAACATGTGTCAGCACATGTACTTAATTTTTTTAAGATTTGATTAATAGGTCACTTTTTTTTTTATTCCTGCTCTTATGTTTGCTTCTTCTGATGTAGAGTCAGTTAACTTTGCATGACCTTCCTGTGTTCAAGGACATAAAATCAGAGGTAAGAATATTGTGAAGTCACTAGCTAAATTAAAAAAAAATCATATATAAGACTTGTATATGTAAAGGTTGAATTTTATCATGCAACTTTTTATGTAGGTCTAAAAATCATGATTAGAAAGATATGTATGCTCCCATATATTTGTAGGTTATTTAGGTTTTATCTTCTAACTGTTAAATTCTATGTACAAGTTACTGAGATATATGAACACATTTTACTCGGTGTTTATAGTTGAGAGAAGAAAGTATGGAAGAAAAACATAAAAGACCAAAACTTTAATAAACACAAACTGTTTAAGAAAGTTGTCAGGCAATTTATTTATCTTAGCAGTTTAACCAAATACACAAATTAGGGCTCTTGTTACAATGCAGAATTATCTGCAAAACATACATGTCAAAGTATTTCACACACAAAAAAAACTGCAAGATTTCAAAAATAATGAAAAGAGAATTGAACATATCTTGTCTATTCTTGAACTGCTATTGCAAAAATAAATTATTCATGATTACCAATAGATACAAGTGACAGTAGAAAATATTAGAATATCCAATACTAATATAAGTCTTACTTTTGTGTTTGACACTATTTTGTTTCAATTTTACTATTTGCTGATAAGAAAAGATGTTTCTGTTTGCAACGTCAACAAATAAATCAATATATTTCCTTACTGTAACTATATCCTTTAACTAATCATAACTTTAAACTTAATAAACTCTGTCCAGTTAATTATTAGTACTTATTGTTATGTACAAACCTAAAAATTCATGATAAAGTTTATTTTATATAATTTGCCATAGCAAAATGGACTAGTCGACATCACTGTTTTTACATATATAAATAAATAGCATTATTAGAATATTATTTATTTAATGTCCTAATTAGGTTTAGTGCAAACAATTTTAGTTTAAGTTCAAGCTAACACTGTAAGGCAAGACTACATTTGCTTCCTGTGAATTAATCTATTTAGGATGCAAAAAAAGAGTACTTATGGTAAAGAACTATGGCTTAGATATCTTATGAAGATACAAAAAGTGGTCTAAACCTTTAGGAAAAATGAGCTGTATTTTTTTTATTTTCCATAGTTTTTTTAATGTAGAGATTATGTTTTGGAGGAATAGTTTGGTTGATCATACCTTATTCTGAACATATACTTGTTACTTGATGACTGAACATTTTCTCAGAGAATATGAAGGAAATGGATATTATGCATGAAAAATGTGAATCTGAAGATATTAAAGCAATGACATTATTTGGACAAAAGGAATGAAAACAAGCGTGGAAAAACTTAAGTGATTTCCATAGCTACATGTATGCGTATATCATGAAATGTTTATACAGGAGCTTGTTAACAATATTTTAACTATATACGTTATAAAATGTATCCTGAAAGTGGAAATATGTTTTTGTATTTTCATGTGAAAATGTCATATCTTGTAATGCTGAATATTCAGCTAAAGTTTAAAAATTTTGCCAAAGTTATTATCATTATGGAAAAGCAAAAAGAAAGCTACCCTCAGTATATCTATATTTTTACTCATTTCATATTACTTATTTGAATTAAATACAAAGTTTTTTGTCCAGGAACTGAGCAGCTGTGGGTGGAACAGGCGGGACAAGCTTACTGTTGCACCAAATATTGTAGCCTTGACCAGAAGATTCAATCATGTAAGACCTCTTTAAATAAACTGGTAGAATATCATATCGTTCAAATCACAGTTTTAATTTGTTTTAAAACTGCAGGCAGTAAGTAATATTGTGGTCCCTCATTTTAAATTGTCTTGATACAAAATCTGGTACTATTTCTCATTGTAAATAGGCTTGAAGTGAAGTATGATTCCTTATTCTATTGTAACATATTTAACTATGATAAAAAAACTTTTTTCAAATTATCATTAAAAATAAATGAAATCCACTGCCTCATCTTTCATGTTGAGTTTTTTTATGCAGTCTTTTTAAAGATTACCAGTGAATTTTTTTTTCACTACACCTGTATGAAAACAGTAATGTTTTGTTTGGTAAGAATATTCAGAAACCTAATTGATAACAGTATTGTTAACTGCCCTGTTAACCCTTACAGTTTAGCAATTTATCTATCCATAACTTCAAATCAAAGCAACCTACCTGTACAGATCAGAACTAGAAATCAACTAAGTAAATAATGTAGCTAATTGAATATGCATAACACTTTTAGTTGGAGTGAGCAGTGTCTTATAATAAAAACTTTCAACTTAAATGTATTGATTCATCAGTTGGATATTCTTGATGTTATTTGGTAAAAAATTATAAAAAAAAATTAATCAATGTAGTTGAAACCAGGGAAAAAGTTATTTAGTGCATACTAGTAATGATAAATACTTGTACTAGTTAAAGAGTCTACTTGTTTATATAACATGATTGTAAAGAAAATTATATTGCATGTTTAACTCTTTAATGATTTTTTGAAGCATGTTGATTTTGTGCAAAATATTTATATTTATACCAAAGCAGGAGGTTGAAGATGCAAAATGTAGTGATTAAAACTACTGATATTTTATGTAAAAGTGTACATTTTTCATTGTATTTTTATTTAATTGTACATGTAATTCATATTGTCGAAGTTTAACTTTTGTCATACATGTTTGAATTTTTTTTAACTTTTCATTATATTTAAAAGATCTTACAAGTTGAATTCTCTCTCTCATAGGTTACTTTTTGGACTGTAAAGGAAATTCTGAGTGGACAGACACCGAAACAACGGGGAGAAATACTGACACACTTTATTAAAATTGCCAAGAAACTTCATGAGTTAAACAATTTACACTCTGAGTTTGCCATTGTTTCAGCCCTCCAAAGTGCTCCAATATTTAGACTAAATAGAACATGGATGGTGAGTTTGTGTTTTATTAGAAAATAATGGGAAAGATAATGATTGTTCTTAAGGTGTTTTATGTTGAGAAATATAAAGGAGAAAAATTGTGTCACAATTAAACCAGAAGCTAAAAGAAGAAATATGATAATTACTGAAAACCTCATTGTTTCGAACTTATGAAGTGTTTATAAATACACACACATGTACATAAATATGGCAATGTAAGGTTTCAACTGTCTACATAGGCATAAGGAAAAAAACAATAATGAGGCACATCAGAAAATACAAGATCAAAAGAATGTTCTAATTGTGTGAAGCAAGAACAACAACAAAATTAACCAACAGTATTATTGATTATCTAGAAACAGTATCAATGTAGGAGAGGAAACAAAATTCAAAATATTTACGTTTTTAAATAAACATTCTGTTTATAAAGTTGTTTATTAGAAAATAATTTTATTGTAAAAGTTGCTCTAAGACAAATAAGTGTATAAGAAGACTGTTGTGTTTAAAATAGGGGAGATTTGTTTTATGGATAGACTTTCTTTGATTTACAGTTCAAGGTCGGAATTGCCGTTACAAAGAATGGTGAATCCTGAATAAGTTATCAGATGTGTATGTAAGACTAAATTTGATACCATAGCTATCTCAATTTGACTTTGAAGTGATTCTTTAATCCATATCATTATATGTATATTTCATCTTAAGATTAAGCTTTTATAAAAAAAATTTACTTTATCAGTAAAGTATAAATTACAGAATTTTAGAAATACTCTCATAAAGATCTTTTTGTATATTTATTAGTAGCAGTAGGAGTTTAGGCCTCCTAAATTTGTTGTACTCAGTTGGAAATTTTTCATTTTTTGGAGGAATATTGCTGATGTCACTGGTACACTTTTAATTTCAAACACAATTTCATATTTGGCTTAACATCTACAAAAAGCCAAAACTAAGACCCATGGATACCTTGGTTACATCTCACCTTCACCTCAAAATGACATAATTCATGCCATTGCTGAGATTGTTTGTGAAGCTGTTGTTAGTGACAATTAAAATGTAAAAATGCAAAGTACTATTTCAGTTGCCTACACACAACATTGAATTGCAGTAAACAAGACCAACTTTCTTTTCTCGTTAGATGCACAAAGAATTAACTGAATGTGCTTTGATACAAAGACAGAAGAATGTTCATTTAAGTACAGAATCTCTTTGAAAATTATGGTCTTTTGTTGTACAATCTGTGTTGCCAAGTATATTATAGCTGGCCTAATATGTCTGGCTATTACACCTGACCAGACGCGTGAAAGATTTGGCTTCAATGGCATATTATTTGCACTAATATACATTTCTAAAATTAATGGTTATGGACAAATTTATGAAGTACAAAATGACAATAAATTTTTTGTGAAGTAGTCCAGAAACTTTTCATTTACTGAAGGCAGCAATTAGTGACATGGTTTCTTCAATAGCAAATGAAACCTAAAGGAATTGGTATACTGCTGTCATCGAGCACAACAAATTGGTTAAACTGAGCAGAAAATTGTATTGTACTTCTTGAAATAATTACTGTTGTGAAGTCTACCTTAGAATCTATTGTTTACAGTGTTAATTTTCACTCTGAAAGTGCTGGTAAAGCTTTTTAAAATCTTTAGACTTTGAATTCTGTCTGTACCAGGATCAGCAATAAACATTATTGGATATATGGCTCTCTCTCTTTCTCCCTCAAATGTTTTGAGTACATAACTCCTTGATATTTATTAAAAGGTTTCATTAAAGTTATCTCTTAGTGTTAAGATCTGTGAAAATTCAGTTAAAGTGAAGAAAAGCATACATAATGAAGATTTTGTAAATTTTCACAAAATGTTTGTGTTTAGCAAGTCTCCAAAAAGGATAGAATGACCTTTGAAAAGTTAGCTGAAATATTTTCTGACAACAGCAACTTTGAAAAATTACGAGAACATATGCTCAACTTAAAGTTACCTTGCATTCCCTATTTAGGTGAGTAGAGCTTTACTTTTGTTGAATTATTAAATAATTATAAATTACATAGTAGCTTTGTCACTATAAAAATACCATGAATTAATCATTTAGCAACGAAAAATTTATACATTGTTTCCTTTATAAATATCTAAATGCTATTTAGTTTGCAAAATAGCAGGCTTAAAAAGAGTTAATTACAAGCAGAGTGTTGGTACGGTATGTATTAATAGATCCATAAACAGCCTTGATAATTATATATTTAGGTTTTTAAGTTTTTAAAATGGTTCATCTACTGTCCACGTCATTTTCAGCTTTGTATGATGAAATAGTATAATGCATTTAACTCCTTGATAAAGTCGACACACTGAAACATTTGAAATAAAATCATTCCATGTGTTAATTAATAATAGTTATTGTCAGTATCGAATGTCTCAATCTAAAGTTTTATGAAGCATAACTCAGAAACATTGAGATATGTAACCATTAATATTCAGTTGATAAATCCATAGGACCAGACAACATTTATCCTAGAGTTTTAATGGAACTTAAAAATTTTATTTGTGAACTGCTAGCTAATATTTTTTATAGATCATTGAGTAGTGGAAGAGTATTAGAAGATTGGAAGTTAGCTAATGTTAGTTCAATATTTAAAAAAGGTGATAAACATTGTCCAGGCAATTATAGGCCAGTTAGTCTTACATCAGTAGTTGGGTATGGAAAGTGTGATTAAAGATGCATTGAAGAGTCACATAAAGCAGTTTGGTATAGTGTCAAAGAGCCAGCATAGTTTCACTAAGGGAAAGTCTTGTTTAACAAATCTTCTGATATTCTTTGAGGATGTTACTGCAAGAGTTGATGAAGGAAATACTGTGGATTTGGTTTACCTTGATTTTTTGAAAGCATTTGATAAGGTTCCTCACAAAAGACTTGTTACAAAAATTAAATCTGTGGGTGTGAGGGAAATATTGAAGTTTGCATATGACATTAAGATTTTTTGGGGTGGCTAACTATATCAAAAATGCTGCAGACTTACAGAGATATTTAGATCATTTGGTGCAGTGGGCCAATATGTGGCAGATGATGTTTAACTATCCAAAATGTAAGATGATGCATGGAGGTTTTCAAAATTTGAATTATTGTTACAATTTATATGGGAATACATTGTGTTGTGTTGTGATTGAAAAATCACTTAAGCCATCTAAACAGTATATTGTAGCTAGCAATAGGGCTAAT